GGCCGTTTTGCTGTTAAAATGAAAAGAAATTGAAAGAAGATATATATTTTAAAAAAGATTTCCGTAGGGACAGTGGGATTGCAGCAGCTCCATAATTAAGGACAAGCATATCACTGCCTTCAAGAACTGCCCCCAGGACCCTGCTGCCATCAAGGAATGATGTGAAATGACAAGGAAGGGGAAGAGTTTTTTTGTGACAGAAGGTTTTAGATCTTCAGGTACTGCTGAATTTATTCAGATCTCCAGGATTAGAGTCCTGAATATGTTATCTGAAAATAATTGTTCCTGTCAATGAGTTAATTTAAGCTTTAAAAGAGCAGGGTCATAGGGGAGTGGAATTTCAGCCGAGAGCTTCAGTCACCCAGTTTAGCTGGTGCAACAGTGGACACTAATGGAAATGGTTTTGCATGGCGTGCTGTAATATTTCACTCTCATTCCCATGCATGATCTAAGGTTTTAGACATGAAAATGCAGCTAATGATGAGCTTGAGGTTGTGAATTGGAAGTCGAGCACAGAGTTGTCCCTAAAAAGGATTATTTAGTTTATTGTTACAGGAAGTCTTTGGAGGCATGAAAGCAGAAGCTCTATATTGAGCTTTTTTGTAACAGTCAGTTCCCAGAGAGATACTTTAGAACACAAATATCCCTACAGGTAGGGATAGTAATATCCCTAAATTGTCCTACTACTCCCTAATTGTCCTGCTAGGAGACAAGAGAAGTTCTGTGAATCTAGAGCAGCTTCCAGACCACAGGAGGTAGCTGTGAAAGCGTGCGGCTTCCGCGGGTGATAGCAGCGGTGCTGCTGCAGGGGCCTGTAAGGTAGACGCGAGGTGAAGGTAGACGCGAGGGCGGCAGCTGCCCGACGTGCCTTGCCGGCCGGGCACTCTGTGCCGAGAGCCAGGCAGGGCGGGAGCCTCCCCTGAGCCCGCGGGGCTCCCGCGCCTCCTGCACCTCCGCACGCACACGAGTCAAGCCGTGAAACCGTCATTCACGTGCTCTGACACGGAAACACTTGGGTTTTTTCATATCTATTTTGTGTTCACCTACTGTTTCACCGCAGAGTGGGGGTCCTGCCCAGGAAGCTTATTAGTGTGAACAACGTAGTAACTTCTCTGAGCCATTATTACTATTTCCATTTAGTTAAACACAGGTTAAAATCGGCACAGATTAAGATACACCCTAAGTGAAGGATTTTTGTTACTGTTAAAAAGAAAACTTTGGGCTCTAAGGTGGGTTTTATTGCCTTGCATAAGAGCACGTTTAACTCTGTAGTTGCCTTGTTTGCAACCGTTGTGAAAAGTTAGCTAAATCAACTCTCCATTTTGATGACAGACACAAAAGTATTCAAAAGTATTTAAAAAGCAGCACTAGAAACTTTAATTATCCTGTAGCTATATGCATATATTTTATTGACTTGTAAAGTTACATTTTACTCTGGCTTTCAGAGTTGTGAATTTGATTGTTCTTACATGACAGGATTTAGCAAATTTACTGTTAGCATATTCCCAATAACCAGAATATCTCATCAGCACTTCAGAGATGAGGAGCAGCCTGAACGAAGTGGATACTCCTGTTATTCCCAAAGTGACAAATCTTTCACTTCTCGGATTATTTCAAATACAGTTTGCATCCAGATAATAGCAAAAAAGCATTTGACTTTGCTAACTTAGTGTCAGATTGATTTCGGGGTTCTCAGCAGCATTTCAGAAGTATCTCACTTTCATAATTGGATGATACATGTCTCTCTCGTCCTGCCAGAATCCACAGAATATGTAAGTGGATTATTTTAAATTTATCTTATTTGGTTGTTCGTGTCTCCAAGGCCTTATGTTTTCAGTTGGTGCATCTTAGCACACAGCATCTGCCCTTTTCTCCTGGCTGCTTTTAACAGGAAACACATCTGTTTTAATCTGTGTGGCTTACTGAAAATTGCAATTGCAGCTATTGCTGAAACTTTTATCCCTATGGAACAGGTGTATTCTGCACTTATATTGGTAGAAGAGTTCAAAGTTATAGCAAGCCACTAGATTGTTCAAATCATTGAGGAGAGTAACGAACCTTTTTAGGTTCAGTAGGCGGAGGCAGTAGGGAAGCTTGCATCTGTACGTGTGGGATGCAGCTTTTTTCAACAACAAGGTTGTTGAAATCGTTGCAAGTGCAGGAACTCGACTCACGCATGCAGAGATAAGCTCAGGGTGCACAGAGAGCAGCATGGCAAAATCAGTGAAAAATCCACCATGGTTTTCCACAGAGAAATTCTATTAACAGGAAACAATAGTGCAGTTATAATGCATTTATATAATGAATGGCTATTGTGCTTTAATGTATGTAAGTGTTCCTTTTCTGAGTAAATAGCAGAGATGTAGTGTAAATTGTGTTTGTGTGTCGTGTACATACAGAGGAGTTTTGAAGGCCACATTAGTGCTGCTAATTAGATGTTTTTCCTGAGGACCATGGATTTAGAGGCGGTCCTAGGTTTGGCACTTGTCAGTACCAGAAGCCTTCACTCCTGATGTTTCACCTCAGTGTCCGTCCAGCTTCCAGGTGATGATGGGGCCAGCTCAGCGATGTGTGACAGCCCAGCACAAAGTGTTCCCAAGGATCCTGGTGAACACACAGTGCTGTGCGTGAGCGTGGCCTGTGCAGGGCTGGCAAGGAGGGAGGCTGCCCTTCCCCGCGCGCCCACCTCCAAATGCAGCTCTGCTGCAGAGCCAGCAACGGGGGAAAGGGAGAGGTACCAGAGCCCTCCACCAAAGGTATCTGGTCTGCTCTCTTCTAACTTTGCAAAAAGACGTCTTTGAAGCAGCAGCAGAAAAGCAGCAGTGCGTTTTCATAGCATTTCGATTTTCTTTACCAGCAACAAAAAATCCCTTCTTAAGCAGGCTGGTCTAAAAGGCACATGTTCCCCAAAGTTTCTGCTTGGGTGACTGCGACTTTGCAGAAACTGAAAGGAGGAGGAAAAAAGAATTGCTCTGGCTTGTATAAGAAATGAACCTTGGCCCAGTCACTTTTTGTCCATGAATAAGGTAACTTTCTGTGCGGGTGGAATTTGAAAGCAGGAAGGTATGTGGGTCCTTGCTCTTCATTGGTTCTCAGGAGCTGATCGGGGTTTTCTCCTTTCGGAGCAGCCCTGGAGTTGTGAGATAAAGCAGCTCAGGGGAGAAATTGTTCTCAAGCAGATGCCTTTAAGAGACAGAAATCATGAATTTCTTGAATTGCCACCACGCCGGGGGTGGCTACAATGACTTTTTGACAGTGACAGTAACTCTGCCTTGTCTTTTCGAGCCCTTCTTTGGCCCATTCACTCTGGAAAGCCGCTTAAGCGCACTTAAGCGCATTAGCATTTGGATGCTGGGGGACCGTATTGACCCTGGTTTGGAGAGTTTAAATGAGTGAAAGATGGAGCGGTTTGTTAGGGCTTTAGCAACCCGCTTTGGAGAGCGGCGGGTTTTCCGCTTTGGTTTGTTCGGGTGCTTGTTCTCATCTGCCGCCCTGTTCGGAGCCGGCCAGACTGACTGGTGACACATGAGCCCAAAGCACTATTTTTTGGGGGGCTTGACCCGCTTAGCCGCTCTGTGCTCTGCATGTCAATGCGGCTGGCGGCGATTCCCCCCCGCGCCTCGCCACACAGATGGCCAAACCTGCCAGCGCCGGCGCCGCAGGCCAAACGCGGCGGCGCCTGGCGCAGCGCCCGAGTAGGTGACACCAGGCGACACCTTCGCTGCCTGCGCAGAGCTGTGCGTGGCATCTGCCCGTGCCCCAAAAACTTGAGCAGAAACGAAGTTCCCCAGGGCCGACCTGTGCCTGTGCTTGTGCAACTGCTTTCCTTTCCTTGAGTGGAAATGATGTCCCGATAATCCCTGTCCCCCAAGAACAAGCATCTTTGCAAGCAGATGCTCTTTGTCTTTTGAAAAGTACATGCTTGGTATCCCCTTATAGTGAATGCAGAAAGGGAGAACAGAAACGAGCTGCAGTTTCGTAGCAGTGGGTCTGATAGCTATTGCACTTCCAAAAGTAAATCCCAAAATACATATTTGTATTTGGGAAAGACAGAAACATGTAGGTTAAGAAATTCCTTATTACCCCATAATATATTTGTTCTATAAATCTTTACTAGCAGCCCTGCCCAGTGCTCCATGTGGGTCTCTGCTAGTAACTCAACTCCAAGTTATGCCACAAGTACCTGGTTGAGTGGATCCAGTATATGTTTTGGGGGGTGAATGTACTTGCCTCCTTTGCTAACTGCTCAAAATTCCCACGTGTTAAAATGCAAGCCCCCTAAAAGTAACCAACCCTGGATTGGGCTGGTTATCCCTCTGGCTCAGCCTTCTTTATTGTTAAAATTGGAGCACAACAGACAGAAATGGGCAAGCGAATAGAGGCCTGGCACTTCCTCTGAAATTGATATCTCTGAGCCTGATTAGGTGCTCACTTGTAGTACGTTTTAGACACTCAAAATACCTAAAGAGTGAGTGTTGTCCCCTATTTGACAGGACAGTTGCTTGAGTAGTTCTGCTGCTGGAATGAACTGTGAAACACATTGCTGAAATATAAAGTTGTTGCTGGGTTTTAATGATATTCGGAGTATTAATTGCAAAGAGGGACGTTCCTGCAGTTGTGCAAGTGAAGTTACCATTTTTTAGGAGTGTGTGATGCACAAACCAGAAGGTCTGGGAAGGCGTTTGCTGCAGGAACTGACTTTTGAGAGTCTGCCAGTGATGCATGGCTTCAGACCTCGGAAGGGACCCATGCACACAGTGATGAGTGAAATCAGTATTTGTCCTACTCACAGGCTGTTTCGTTATTCTTGTGTGTTTCTCTCCCAACAGTAATTTATATTATTGTGATGGATTTGTCCCAAGAGGAAGCCAGCTACACAAGCCGTGTTTTGTGTTCTGGCTTGCAGCGAGCTGTGCCTCCGCATAGGCGCAGGGCACTGCACGGAGTGGCCGAGCTCACTGAAACCTGCAAACCATTTCCCCTCTCTCCATTTTCCCTAGACACTGTGTGCAAAGGCCACGATGCAGACGATCCGAGCGGCCGACACAAATGAAGTCGTCAAGCTCATATTTCGCGAATCTGATAATGACCGGAAGGTAAATAACATAATGCCCTCTGCGAACCCAGCACAGAGAGCAGCGCTCTGTGCATTCGCACTCCTTCCTGCAGGGCATCAGTATCGCTGTCTAACACTGGTGATTGGCGGCAGGTGGGAAGGGACGTGGGCTGTCTCACCTGGTGCCCAGCTACCTGGATGCTTTCGCTGGCTGCCGCCCATGAGGGACGCAGGCCAGTGTGGAGCCTGATGCGCTGCCAAGGGCTCTGTGTCCCCGCGCGTCGCTGCTGCGCGCTGGTGTCGGTGCCAGGGAGATTGCCTGACCTCTCCTCTTTATTCCTCTTCCAGGTTATGCTGCAGCTAGAAAAGAAGCTCTTCGACTATTTTAATCAAGACGTTTTTAGAGATAACAATGGCACTGCGGTAAGTGTGTGGCTAAGCACAGCAGGAGGAACGAGAGGGAAGTGACATACACATTGCCCCTCTTTATCCTTAGCAATCCCTCTGCATGGGATGAGGGCAGTTAATTCACCTGACACAATAACCCCTCCAAGCTTTCTCCTCGCTTTCCCAGTTATTTTGTGCACAGCTTCTTAAGTTTGGCATCTTTCTGTTTGCCTTCTTTTTCATAGAAAAATAATGTAAATGGAAAATTATTTGCAGGTCATCACCTTCTGTCATCTGCATTTCTTCAAGCACCTTGTTTGTTTGCTTGCTGTTGGTTGTGCAGTGCAGGAACTTGGGTAAAACCTTTCATTGCAAAACTGCTTTTAAAATACTTGCATCTTCTGGGTGTACAAAGAAAAGAGAAAATGCACCAAAAAAAAAAAAAAAGAGAGAGAGAGAAAA